TACTCTCTTGCAACACCTCCGATATTCCGCTCTTATATGACCTTATTGTGTTGCAAGGGCTGTAAAACACTTACTAAAATTAAAAAGAGGTGGGGTGGTGGGAAGTACAGGTGATTGTCTTGGACAGGGTGGCTGTTGGAGCAGGTTCAACTGTGCATTATTTAGATGTAACCTTTGCCCGCACCCAGCAGCTTTGTGGGTAGTTGTGGTCAAGAGGAGATAAATGTCTGAAGGCTGTGGGGATTTGAGGTCACAGGGGTCGAACAGGGCTCAAATTTTTCTCTTTTTGCCTGTGTTTGTGGTGTGTTCTGTGGTGCTTATGAACAAAGTGTTTAGTGGACAGGGGAATTGTTACACACTTTGATTACACATTTTGCTTGACTGTGTTGATGGAAAGACGTGTTTGTTGTTGCTTTCTTTATCCACTCTGCCAAAATCAAACATACGTCATATTATTGTCATGAAGCATTGATTCAGGCTCTCGTCAAAATGACGAGTTGAAGAAACTTTGTTTCAATCTGTTGGCAATTTTTATCCTTTTTTTTTTTTCTAACACATTTTATGTACTTTTAAAACCGTAGTTCTTTGTGGACTTGAAAAACACATTAATCAAAGGTACAAGAAATGTAAATCTGCAGTTTGCAAGGACATTGAAGGTGTGGAAGTCACCAAACTTTGGCAGACATTTTTGGGCTAATTTTACCCCAGGCCACCCACATCTTTGTCAATCGTAAATATCTTGACTTCTGTTCTAGATAGATGTGTTTTTTTATTTTAAAAAAAAAAAAAAATGAAAAGCAAGAAAAATTAACGAACTTTAAGTAGATACTAATAAATCCATATGTCCAAAAATTGACGAGAGTCTGAAAACATTCTGTTATGATGTTTTGACACATATTGAATGTACATGTAGGCCTTTACATTGGATGGTTGACGGGTGCTCTGGTGTGGTTTGGTCCTTCTTTCCTATCAAACATCTATCGTCTTTATCTCCCCTCCTTCTTTTTTATGTTTGTTACTCCCTTGTAACACCTCTAATCTTCTGGCGCTCATAAACCTCTACTAGAACAGGGCCTGTACAGAGAGATAGATAGAGACAGGAAGGGAGAGAGAAAATGAGAGAAAGGAAGAAAACTTGAGCAGAGGTAATGTGGAAATAACAGAGTAGTATAGGTTTTTCAAGAGCTCGTGAACAGCAAAATGAATGGCGAACCATGATTGTTGAAATATGTTTTTGATCAAGCAGTTAGCAATGACCCTGGTTCATATATATACTCCGGGAGTGATATTAAAAGTGGTGTGTTAAAGACAGACCAAAAAAAAAAAATACCACCATGCTTCATTTGGTGGTTTTGGAGTTTATACAGCTTCTGTGTACGAGTTTGGCAACATCTCATTTCAGTACAGTTGTGTACAGTACATGTTTTGAAGCTTTGAAACTGTTTTTTAAACCACCTACCTCCTATTGAAGGTATTTGTCTCATTTTGAAGCTAAGTAATGCTTTTTAAAGTGTCTTATTTTGAAGTTTTTGGAGTTGTGTACCTCTTTTAAAGTGTCTCATTTTGAAGGCAGTTAACGCTTTTTGAAGTATCTTATTTTGAATTTACGTGTTTGTAACTTTTTTAGTATCTCAT